ACAAAGAAAGGCGTCCCATAAAACTTTTCAAATTAGAAAAAAGGCGCACCCTAAAATCATTTATCCTACACATTATACCTTATTACCTTATTATAAAGTAAAGGAAAAGTTTAAAACTAATTATAATATCAAAATTATATATTTTTAAAGGAGTTCAGTGTTATGTCATTTCCAGATGATAGTCTTCTTAATAGATTTCAAAATAATTTCTTGATTGAGAACTTGAACTATGACAAAGAAAAATTGTCATTTGATTTTAGAGGATATTTATCTACGATGAATGAAGATCAAAGAAAAATATCTGATGTGATAATCGAAATCTAATATCTAAAAGAGGAGGTTTCTTTTTTATATATGTTTACGGGAGACTACTTGGGAAAACATTTATATAGAAACCAATGTCTACTTCTCAAGAACGAATGATATGTAAGGCTATTTTGAATGTTGCATCCAGTGACATTGTAGCATTGCTTTTGCATAGTGGAAGGATAGCACACTCGAGATTCTCAATCTCTCTGGCTTTAACTGAGTACTCAATGTGTGCTATTAAACAAGGGGGTCCGAAAGCAGAATTAATCTAACAAGCAAGTGGAATCATATGAGATGAAGCATGTGTGATGAATAGATTTGTTTTTGAGGTATTGGATCACACAATGAGAGAGATATTGAGGTTCTACAATAATAACTCTAGAAATGAACCATTCAGAGGAAAAATATTAGTACTCGGAAGTGATTTTTCCCACTTCCTTCCAATTTTACCAAAGCTTTGAGAGAGAAAATTATAGGTGCTACCGTGATTTCCCCAAAATAGAGGTTGTATTGTAAAGTTTTTACGTTGAGCAAGAATAAGATATTGCATTCATCTATGTCCTCTTACCTTAACTAGGTAGGGATACACAAGCTTTTTTTGATTGGATAATCAAAATTTGAGATGGAAAGCTTGGTCAAGTGATTGGTGGAATTGTTGACATTGAAATTCAGACTGGAATTCACTTATCTGAAGTTATTGGAGAATATGAAAAAATATTCTTTTTTAGGATTAGGCACCATTAGCACCCACTCTCGAAGTTGTTGAAATAGTAAATGAGTTTGTCTTATTCCTCATTCTCATTAATGAAAAAGGAGCAATTGAGTTATAATTCTTAATGGCAAGCAGATGCCAATGTAGGTCTTGATGCTTATTGGATAATATTTGAATTTTTGAATGAAATCAAATGTCTAGATGTTCGGGGATCCCAAACCGATTCAAAAAATAGTTTTGAAAAAAGAGGTACTGATTATGTTATTTGGATTGTATAATGGTACAAGATTAATTTTTGAAGAGGTATGAAAAAATGTTAACCGTGCAATCGTGGTTTCGAGAAATCGAGACGGGGAAAAGGTTTACATACCTCGAATAAATTTGGTACCATATGATCCAAGGCTACCCCCTAAAGTTTCAAAAAAAGACAATTTCTAATAGTTTTATGTTTTGCTATGACTATTAACAAAAGTTATGGTGAAACATTATCTTTTGTTAGATTATTTTAACAAAGTCAGTATTCACTTATGATTAATTTTATGTTGTTACTTCACGAGTGAAGAAAAATACATAATTAAAAATGTTTATATTAGATGACAATAGAAACTTTTGCAACCATACCAAAAATATTTTATACTGTGAAGTGTTTCAAAAAAATTAGATTTTAATAAGTCTTTGTTTTATATATACTTTCAATTCTTCAAATATTATTTATTCTATTTTGATGTTGATGTATATATAGTATTAAAAATCATGTAAGAAATCTATTTTATTTAATCCACAAAAAATAATACATGAAAAAAAAGAATTGAAAAAAAATTTGTTCGACCCCGTGCATGGCACGGGTCAAAATACTAGTAATTTTATAAATTTGAAAGTAACGCTTAAGATTATTTATAATTTTTAATAGAATATCATGTAAATAAAATAAGTAATAAATGTTGAAGAGATCACCCTAAATAAGAGTAAAGCAGAGAAAGAGCTCCTACTTTGGCACTTCCTTTATATTTTACTCTTATTTGGAGTAATTTCTTTAACGATTATTAAACATTTTATTAAATGTTATTCTTCTAAAAAATTATAAATAATCGAAAACATTTAATTTTAAATATATAAATTTATATTTATAACTTTAAGTATTATATTATCTTTCTATATAATTTAAAATATTTTTCCATAGTTAATTTTTGTTATTTCGAAAATGCATTAATTTGAGAAAACACGCAATTAGAATGTACTATTTTGAGAAAAATAATATAAAGTTTAGCGTCATTTTGATATCGTTTTACCGACCGTTAGTCAGAGGACTGAACTGAGCATTAATTTCTATTAACAAATACCACCTTAAAAATTACCCCGAGTAGTTAATTTGAGAAAGCATATAATTAATAAAAAAAATTATGGACGAAACCTAAAGGGCAAAAAAAGAAATGCTCCGTAACAAACATCTAACATTTCCCGCTCTTCAGCTACTGACTAAAAGCTTTCCACTGAAACCAATCCATCAAATAATCAAACACGAAACGAAAAAGTGGAATCGAAATCGTAAAATTGAGAAATGAAATTCAAAAGGCATCTGTTTCTGGTGTCTCTGATCGTCGTTCTGATCATCTGCTTGAAGAATCAAAACGCCGAAACCAACTGGAATCCTTCATCTCATTCTTCGAGTTTCCAGACATTGGAGTCGTCGTCGTCGTCTCAATTGGATGAACAGTCGTTCCCGACTTCTCCGTTCACGTTTAGAGACAGCAAGATTGAAGCTCCTACGCATTTCGAGAGCCTCAGATACGATTACTACCGCGAAACTTGCCCTCAGGCTGAGCAGATTGTTCGATCCACAGTGAGGAACCTCTACAACACGCGTCCTAGCATTGCTCCTCAGCTTTTGCGCCTCGTTTTTCATGACTGCTTTGTTCAGGTCAAGTCTCCCGCTCAGACTCTTCTCTGGCGGAATCAATTTCTGTTTAAAAATTTCCTTGTCTGGATCTGATCCTTCACCTGTGTTAATTTGTGTTATTTGATGTTTTTCTACTCGATTGTTAGGGTTCCTTTGTTTAAAATTTGTTTCCTAAATATAAACTCTTGTTTGCAACTTCTGTGATCAGAAATTACTCTTCTCCTTAGTTCGTTTGATAACAAACCTTTGTAGGTTTTAGTTCCTTTTCTTCGAAAAATATTTAACTGGTGAAGTATTGAGACAGGCATTGATTGTCTTTCCAAATTATGGTGTATATATGGTTTTAAATTGCTGTTTTTAATTAATGGTGAAGTAATAATGTGATCCACTACAGATTCTAGCATACTGTGTACATGATACTTAGTGAAATGCTTGGATTATGGGCTGTTGGTTTCTAAAATCTGCAAAATCTGTATGGATAGCTCTAATATGAGGTTGGGTTGTGCTGTTTGAATCAGGGGTGTGATGCCTCAGTTCTACTAGACCCGGCTAATGGAATTGAGAGTGAGAAAGCGGCAATTCCCAATTTGCTCTTAAAGGGCGATGATGTGATTGATATAATCAAATCCGAGCTTGAAGAAGTCTGCCCATTAGTTGTTTCTTGTGCAGATATTATTGTTCTGGCTGCAAGAGAGAGTGTTATTCTGGTAAATATATCTCTCACGATAGACAATTTCCCTCCATTTTGCATGATGATAATAATAATGAGAAGAATAGTAACGAATATACTGAATCTTATGTATTTCACTAGGTTGGTGGTCCATTCTACCCATTGACTACTGGAAGAAAGGACAGTACCGTTGCTTACCTTCAAATTGCCAATCAACTTCCAGCACCCACAGATGACATTCCCAAGATACTTAGCAAGTTCTCGTCAAAAGGTTTCAAAGAATGGGAGGTGGTCAGTCTCTTAGGTATGATAAATCTTTTCTCATGTTCTGTGTCTCACCTCTGCCTTTGTTGAACCCCTGAACTCTGAGGGTATGTGTGGATCCGGAAAATGCTATGCAATGAGGAAACATGCTAAGAAAAGTGACTTTATTGTTATTGGTTTTACCTTAGAAAGATGCAAATGAAATATGATGAAACAATTTTCTATTGTCTGGTTTTACCATGGAAAATTTATTGAGTTTGAAACAATATTTTATTTTCTCCCACATTTTCCCTACATTCTAAATTTCCGTTCCATTTTCTTTTCCTAACATTTTCTGAGTTCCAAAGGGACCCTTAATGTAGAACTTTTAGGTTACTAATGATATAATAAAAAGTAGTGATGATGCATGCATCTATTCCCTGGTGCGCAGGGAGCCACAGCACAGGCGTGATTCATTGTCATTTCTTCAGTGACCGCCTTGGGGGAACTAAGGAGCCCGACCCCTCTCTGGACACGGAATTTCTCAACCAGTTAAGGTCAAAATGCAATGCCAGCCAAACGGCACCTTCACCGTTACATGAGGAGCCAGCAATAAAGATGGATTACAAGGGACCCAGAAATGGTTTTGGCACCATATACTACCAAAGCCTCCTGCAAGGGAAGGGGATACTCTTTTCGGATCAGCAACTGACCGAAGCAGAAGAAACTGCAGAATGGGTGGAAGCATATGCTTCGGATACTAAATTGTTCCGCCTGAAGTTTTGCCGTTCAATGATGAAGCTCTCCACTATTGGAGTCTTGAATGCAACTCAGGGGATGGTTCGCCTGAATTGCAGAAGGGTTGCCTGAAAGATGTTGATGATGAGAAGTTTGGTTCTTCTTCCTATAGTTGTGCATTGATTGAACGCTTCCTACTTGTTGATAATATTACATTTCAAAAAAATCTCATTTCTCACAATTCTCTATGATCGTTTCTTGATCTCCATGAGAGTGATGAACTACATTCAAGACCCTACTCTCGTGGAATCAAACTGCATTTATAATACCAGCAAAAATCTAATCTAATAAAATTGAATGTATATTTAGTTTGCTTAGTTTTCATTTAATAAATTAGTTTTTACAAAATCCTGTTAATACCCAAGACACACACATCACATTCACATTTATCCCCACACCTCAGTCAATAAGTGCAATTGCTTCGACAACAGAAGCATCAATCCTGTGTTTCTATTTACAAGAAAGACTTCCCTAGGGACCCTTCTTTTACTTTATGGAATTTGAAGAAATGGTGTAGCAGCTTGTGGACCTCCCCATAATTCTTGGTTGCAGAAACGAGGCGGGCTTTAATCCACTGCGGAAGCTTGTTTGTTAAATGAGAAGCCCTCCGTTCCATTGGATCTGACGCATATCGCCCATCAACTAACAAAATTGCAGCATAGTCATCTATGTGTCTGATTGCTCTACCTGGAATCACAAGAAGAAATTCAAAAACTAAGGGTATGTTCGGATCACAGGAAATGCTAGGGGGGAAAGCATAAAAGTTAAGGAAATTTAGTCCTACATTTGGGTTTAACTTGGGCAAAACACAAGACACCCAAAACCAATTTTTATCATATATTCGGGTTTCTTGGTATTTATATAAGAAGAGAAATAAATGAAGAAAACGAGTTTGAACAAATATTTTAAATACATTCATTGAGTTCGAGTTTGTCCTTTATTTTCTTCCCCAAATCTTCTTTCATTCTCATTTTCTTTTATATTTGCCCTCACATTTTCTTTCCTTGGCATTTTCATGGTTCCAAAAGGACCCTAAAAGTTAAGGGCATAGTGCATACCAATAGATTGATTTAGAGCTTTGATGCAAAGATTCTCATAGTACTGCTTCCCCCGATGCTTGCAGCTTCTTAATATGCTCAACCCAGCTTGTGCATCCCCATTAAAACACTGAGTTGGAACTGAAACTTCAGGTGGTTTACTCAAAGACAATGAACGCCCAAGCCCTTCAATATGTTTCACCCTCTCAATCAACTCAATGTCAGAGGGGCTGGGGTAGGGTAGTCCTACCATAACTATACATCTCCCCATTCCATCACTGAAATTGATACCCTCCGATATCTTTCCACCCACAATTGCCAAGAGAATTGCACCATTTTGAGATTCAGGTTGAAGTTTGTGATCGATCGCGTCCTTGTATTCCCTCAGAACAACTTTCACCTCTGTACTTTTTCTAGGCTCTCTGTAGATACGCTTCTTCTTCATAATTCTTGCAAGTATGCCGGATTCCCTCCAAGAATTGTACACCAATGATTCATAGTCAAATGATGAGAAGAAAACTATTACACCCTCAGGAACCAATGTCACTATATTGCAAATCAGAAGCCCTAACTCTTCAATCTGCCGATCAACAGCCAAGTAAAGACATCATATATAAAGCACCTAACTAGATAAAAAAAAGTGTCCAGACGCTCACAAGTTTGGTAAGAAAATGAAAAGAGTTTTACCATGACTGGGGAGCTTCTGGTATTGTAACTAAAATCAAAAGGATGTCCGGATGGCCCACAAGAAACAGCAATAGGTAATATATTTTCAGAAGGAATTATGTGACCACATGAAAAGAAATGCATCTTTTCAGGCTGCAAAGATGGGAAAAGGCGTTCCTTTGTTTCCTCTATAGGCTGAAGTGTTCCCCCAGCTAATATGACCGCATGGGCTTCATCAAGCACCTGAAACAGTAGAGGAGTATGTAATTAAACTTGGCTGATGCTAAAACTAAGGCTTTTAAGTTTGTAGAGAGTGAGATTAAGGGCCCATAAAAACTAACTCAGCCAAAAAAAGGACTATTTAATGCGCTGATAGGCACAATAAGCAAATTAATGCTATCAAATGGGGCCTAAGACAAGTGGCAAACCTCAGAAAATATCTTTTCTCCACTGAGCATGACATATTTCAGATAACCTCCTTTCTGTCCTTCGGAACTCGGTCTTGCCCGGGATACAATTACCCTTCCATCTGAATCTTTATTTGTTAAAGATAGTAACATGTCGAGTAATGCTCGGAAACCTGAAAGTGAGCTTCCCTCCTCACTGCTTTTGTCACTGTCTTTTGAGGCTAAAACTTTTTCTGCAGCAAGTTTATCTCCATATCCACACACCTGCAAATATGCAAATGCCATTTTTAATCTTCAAAAGCTAGAGCTTGCTTAACTTACATCACACCAGAACGGATCGCAATTACTCACCTTGTGAATTATATTGCTATCTTGTATATAATAGACCAGTTTGACAAGATTTATGTTGTCGATGTTGAGAGAAAACAAGAACTCATTAATGGTCATGGAAAACTCAAACCCACTTTCAGTTCCTTCTGCAGAGAAAAAGGAGCTGCCGGTGTTTTTCCCATGACATAAAATATGTAGAAAAGCCCGGGTCAGTACCATCAGCGTCTGGATATATCTTCTATTTCCGGGTCCTAACAGACTTTGAAACCTCTTGAGGTAACTTTCCAAATGAGAATGCAAACGTTCCAACTGATATAACACAGACAAACAGTGAATTCAAATATTTTGTGTTTACTCTTATGTCCTTACATGTCAATTGATTTAAAGTTTCTGTTTCGGATCACTAACACTATGTTTGCTTCAAGGAATTTGGAAAATAGAAATCACCCTAAATAGGATTAAAACATAGAAAAAAGTACCAAAATAGGAGTTCTATGTTTTTATTCCCGAAATAGGACTTCACACTGTAATAATACCGTTGTAATGTGGCACTGTACATGTACACATTACTATATTTTTTGGTAATGTGCATGACATGTTTGGTAATGTAAATTCATTTTAACTCCTATTTTGGGAATAAAAACATGGAAGTCCTATTTTTGTATATTTTCAATGTTTTACTCCTACTTTAGTCTTTTTCCCTTTGGAAAAAAATGAAAAGAAAATGATTTTCTCATTTTCCTCACCAAAACTGGAATCTGGGTTTCTCTTTTCTTCGTACATTTTGCCTTCTGATTTTCTTTTCTTTCAACTTTCCTTTTCTTTTCCTCTCTACCCAAACTTGAAAATTGTTTTCCCTCTAATTTTCTTTTTTTCCCCTTTCAAATTCCTTAAACCAAACATAGTGTAAAGATACAAGTGCTTTCTTATTCAATTCACTTTAAATGCTTTGCTTACAAATTATCAATATGTTGCTTTCTTAAATTAGCATTACAAGCATTTTTCTACTTTTAAATGAACTTTTCCCATTTTTCTTTCCAAACGCTTTTTTATAGTGAATGTATTTTTCTTCCCCTAAAAACACTAAATCCTTGACACCAATCAACCCAAACACACTCTTAACTTTGTGTGAAAGAAACAACATATTGATAGTTGAATAAAGGGTGACAAAGTCTATGAGTTATCAGATGGATGGCTATAATTTACCTGCGACAGAGTAACCCTCGCATCGTGCATGCTGATCAGAGAATCAGCTAGATTATGAGCTTCATCAATAATAACAACATTATCTTTCAAACTCAAACCAAGAGATTCACGAGATGACTTCGAAAGAAGAGATTGGTAAGGAAGTATTACAAGGTCTGCTTTAGGCACCAAGCTTCGTGAACCATAATAAGGGCAAGTTCCCAACTCACGCCCAATGTGAACAACGTCCTCAATATCCAAAGGCCCTTGATGAGAAAGCTCACTCCTAAATTCCTTTTCAACTTTGCGGCTTCTAAGCATTGGGCACCCAGATGAGGCTTTTGTCCTTCGCACTCTTTCCTTGAAGCCCAGGTTCTGCAGGTAAGCACTACAGGCTCAATCCAAAGAATCTAGAAAATAAAACAAGTTTAACTAAGGAAAATGCATACTTTGGGAAAACTCATACCTTTGGTTTGGAAACTTTACAACATCCTTGTTTCCTACTCTTTTGAAGCTCTAGACATCTCTCATTTATTCGCATGGAGGTTCCCAACTTCAATACATCTGATATAAACTCCAAACTCGCCATGTTTAACAAGACTGTGGTGATATACACTCATGTAAGCATAATCAGCATTAAAAAAAAAGTTACTTCCGTGTACCTTCATTGATGCAGAAATTTTTTCTGGACCCCAAGCACACAACATTCAGTTGGCTAGCAAATACAGTCTTCTTTATCTCCTTTATAAATTGGGAAAGCTGTGAATGTGTCCTACTGCAGAAATAAACTTTCGGTCTTGCCTCTTCCTTCTCGTCGTCGTCATCATCATCCTCGCTCGAGGTGCTCACGTAATCCTTGGCACCCTTTCTTTTTTTATTCCCTTCAATTTCCCCTTCACTCTCGTACTCCTCCATCAAAAAATCTTCATCTTCCATGCCCTCTAATGCATTATCACCCTTCAAAACTTTCTTATCCTTGCGTTTGGTAGTTCCAAAAGCGTTTATATTTTCAATTTTTCTATTAAACTTATTTTCCTTATATAACGCCTTTTTCTCCCCCCTTTCAGATGGTTTCGTTTCAGCATTAAGCACGAAATTCCTCATCCAATCAGGCTCATCGTCTGGCCCTGATTGCATTTCAGGTTTATTATCATTCAGTACTTGCTTTCTATCAACAAGCCACTGCAGAGCACTGCAGATTATACTAAGTGTTTTCCCGGTTCCTGAATCATCCACACTTGGATCAATCACAATACGAAGCGAAGAACCAGAAAGGACAATCATATTTGAGGAAAATAAAGAATACAGAAGATAATAGGGGCGTTTGATTACCAGTTGGGCTCTCGAGTATAGCAATGCCGCCGTTTTGGAGGGACCTATAGAGGGCATTCATGAAATCGAGCTGAATGGGGTAGGGTTTGTAAGGGAATGCTGGGAATTCCGGTCGGACCTCCTCCATTTCTGCTCCCATTCGTTCTCTTTCTTTTCTTCTTCTCTTCTTTTTTCTGATTCGTGACCGCCTCTGAATAAATTAGGGGTTTCAGTCTGCTGGATCGTAGCCCCGCGCGCAAGGTTTTCCCGCGTTTGGGCGTGATTAAAAGTTGATCTTTTTTTTTGGATAAAGCTATTTGTACCCAAGAGTTTGTACACCATTTGTACATTGCAAGTGTACACCAATATTTTGTGTTGATGTAATTCTAATTTTTGATAACGTACCAATATTTTGTGTCAGTGTATATTTTTGTTAATGCACCGACACTTTGTGTCATTGTGAACCATCAAAATATTAGTGTATACCTTTGGTGTAAGTTTGAGGTACAAATTTTGGTGTAAGTGTAGCATGGTCCTTTTATTTTTGATTAAAGGTTCCATTTTGTTTATGAATTGATGATTGTAATTTTGACCACAATTTTCACCGAAATCTCTTGATAGATAATACTTGCACAGAATAATATCGAATTCTATGTGATGGATACCCTGGACAGGGGGTATCCGATCTTTGTATAATATTAGCTGGAGTGGTCCAGTCTGTTGGACCGGCCCGTTAGTTGTATGTTGATTATTTATTTAAGGGCGGCCCAGTCTGTTGGGCCGGCCCATTAGTCCGAAATCCTAGCTCTCATTCTCCTTATTTATACCCTCTTCTTGGAAGAGGGGAGGGGGAGAGGGAAAAAAGGGAGGCTACCACTATTCATCATCTTCTTCATCTCTACACACATTTTCTCCTTCTTCCCTACCCTTGGGTTTCTTAACCCAACATTGGTGCTTTCACACCCTTTTTCAATGTCTCTTGATTCACCTTGTGGGACGAGATGTACTCTTTTCTTGACCGAGGTTTTTTTCCCATCCTCATGGGTTTTTTCCTCGGCAAGTTTTTAATGAGGCATCCCCCATAGAGTGAGCCACACATTGACGGGGTTTGGAGAGGATCCTTGAAGACGACAGATGGACTGTAGATGACGACTCCATCACCCACTCTTATTGTGATCGTTGTGCACTGAACAACGAACAGACGATGCCCTTTGTATAAGAGCAGCTCATTTCAAGACAATGAGCAGATTGGCGCAAACCTTTCCACTTTGCCGCTCTGGACAGCGAGTCGGCAGCGCACTTCGTGCTTAGTGCTACGATTTGTTCCCTTTGCCGCTCCGGACAGCGGGTTGCCATCTCCTTTCATGCTCATTGCTACAACTTATTTCACTTTGCCACTCCGGACAGCGAGTTGGCAGTGCACTTCATGCTGATTGCTTCTACTTCTTTCCCATTGTCGCTCCGGACAGCGAGTCGGCAGAGCACCTCGTATCCATGGGTGCAGATTCTTTCACCTCGCCTCACTCTGGACAGCGAGTTGGCAGAGCACTTGATACAGATTGATGCAATTTCTTTACAGCGAGGTGGCATTACATTCTCCGACTGATGGCGTTGCTTGCCTTACTTCACCGTGCTCGGGACAGCGAGTTGGCGGTGCACTCTAGACTGCAAGGAAGACGGTGTCCTTCCGTGGTAGATTTTGCTCTACTTCCACTTCACCTCGAGTTCCTCTCGGCTTGGAAAGTGGGGGACTCATGATGGATACCCTGGACAGGGGGTATCCGATCTTTGTATAATATTAGCTGGGGTGGTCCAGTCTGTTGGACCGGCCCGTTAGTTGTATGTTGATTATTTATTTAAGGGCGGCCCAGTCTGTTGGGCCGGCCCATTAGTCCGAAACCCTAGCTCTCATTCTCCTTATTTATACCCTCTTCTTGGAAGAGGGGAGGGGGAGAGGGAAAAAAGGGAGGCTACCACTATTCATCATCTTCTTCATCTCTACACACATTTTCTCCTTCTTCCCTACCCTTGGGTTCCTTAACCCAACATTGGTGCTTTCATTGAGAGATCGAATGCATCAAGCGTGCTCTCATTTTTTTCCCTAAACGGAATTATTTCTGTTTTTGTTTTTTCGGAGATTCATCCTTGCGGTGAATCCTTCCATTCTCCCTGATAGGTTGCAAAAATTCCACCACAAGGAGCGTTGAAACCCGGCCTGGAGGAGATCATTCTCTCGCCAACTAGGCAACGTCGTTCTCAGCTCGCCGGCCGAGGTCTTTGACGCCGGAGTATAGTAATGAATAAATCTAGATAACCAAATCTTCAACAAATGGCCATTACATCTTGTTAGTTGTTAAACATATATCTCATTCCCCAATGAACGTAGATAAAAGGATAATTCATTGCTCAATGGCTACCGATTCAGTATCATTTTTTATCACAGTACAACTTCAATTCATGTAAGCCGCTCATAATTGCTTCTTAACTTGATCATGGTTTAACCACATGCAACGGATTCTTTGTAATTCAACTATCGTGTATGCATCACCCAAAAATTGTAATGCAATCTTTATGCAATCAACACAAAACCATGTAAGTTCGTGGGGGTGCAGCGGAAATCACCAATTGAAAGTTACGCATACAGATCAAACAACTATGCTGTAGAGAAGATTCTGCAGCATTATCACAGTAACAGATGACAGACAGAGTGCTACAACATCTTCTCTGTCACAGGCACACACGTAGAATATTATAAAGTAAAAACAGTAAGCAAGACACCAGAATTGTTCACGCTGTTCGGAGCAAATTCTCCTATGTCTGCTAGGCCCACGTCCATGTAATAGCCCTTCCACTAAATCATCGTAAGAATTACACAATCAATCACAACAGAACCTTCTAATGTATTCATTTGTCTACTTACGAATGACTTGTCGACAAACTCGGTTTGCGTCTATTTCCACGGCTTGTTACACCTCAAAGATCTTCTTCAAGGACGTAGATTCTAGTACCCCTTCAAATAAAGATTCTCCTTGATCTACACAAATAAGCAGGCTGATCCGAAGCTCATAAATTGAGATTGAACCGTTGGAATTCAATCTCCATCGTTCAGATTGAAGCTACACGAGTCCTTAGGCTCCTCCTAAAATTTAAGCACGATCGGACAAGATTTGATACTCCGATCATCGACAAAACCATAGCTGCATTTTCTGCAAAAAAATCAGCGGCAATAGGCAGATTGTAACCTCGATAACAGAAGATCCGTAACTCCGATAGACGTGAAATTTGAACAAGTTGAAGCCCTATGTGTTGGGAACACTCTCTGAAAAGTTCAGCACAATCCATTGGTCGGATCTGAGGCAATGATCAAATTCGTGCAGGCTGTCCAGAAAATTTGCACTATCTAACTCTGCACCTTGTTTTTCCTATTTTCGGATTTGCTTCAATAGTTTTGTATTTTTCCACACCAAAACTCTAAGGGAGAGAGAAGATAATATATGGAGTATATTAACCTTGTTAGAGTATGCTTAGGAGTCTCAACCATACCTTCCTCCTCAAGAATAGTAAACCATGTAGGATTAGAATTCAAGTAGGATTAGAATTCTCTCTTCAAGCTCTTTCCTCTTTCTCTTCCTTCATATGATAGGACTCTAAGTCTAAATAAAACATCTAAAATAATTCTAGGTAAATCCATTCGTTTGTCAAAAAATAATGCCAACACAATGTGGAACTAACAATCTCCCCCTTTGGCAATTTTTTGACAAAAACAAATCTCAGCTCTTTTCAACCTCATCTCCCCCTTTTTGCATAAAAAAATGCCAAAGGTTTTATTAAGAATATTGGGGCAAAAAGAGAAGAGTAACATTCAAGCGAGCTTGAGGATTACAATAATGAATATGAAAATAGACCTAGACTTTGTCACATCAACCTGAGCCATATTGAGCGACTCCCCCTCGGACGATCCATCTAAAAAAGTAATAATCTGCAAGAAGAAAAAGACATGTATACAACCAGCAAAAACATCTATGCTTTGAGGTATTCCACGCTGGAGATGAAACACGTCTTAGAGCATCCTCTAAATCAAGTAGAGAAGGGTGTGCACAGACCCAAACGGGATCTGAGTATACCAAATTGATTCCCATCAAATGCTCTTTTACACATGCCTAATGCCCGTTTTTTCTTAGTCATGAACTTCACACTCTTATGACTAGGAGGTGTCACTTCACCACACTTATGAGATGATTCAGCACTCTTAACAGCACAACGATCTATCTTATTTTCTTCTTGATGCAAGCTTGCACTACCAACATGGCATTGATCAGAAATAACATCCTTCACACAAAGATTATCACCTGTTTTGTGCTGATTCTTAGGTACCCAAATCATCCTTGTTGTCACATTCTTTGTTCTATATCTTTGCTCTTTAAAATTCTTGCATTTCCTCTGAATGTGTTCCCTTTCTCCACAACAAAAGCAAACATAATTAGCATAGGTATTAGTATAAGAATACCTTTCAGGTTTAGGATAATGATCTTTGTGTCTTCTCATACTAGATTGTGTCCCAACTCGTTGCCTTTTTACATAGGATACTGCATAAGATGTTCCCGTAGAAGCTACATGAGATGCTTCAGCGGGTGTGGCAGAAGTTGTTCCAGCAGATTCGGCAGCTTCTGTTTTCCTTCTTTGTGGGACTTTTTGAGCAATTCCCTTTCTTCGATCAACAAACAAGTCAAGTGGGGTCTTATTTCTTTCGAAACCTGAAAATCCGAGATCCGTCTTGTCTCCATAAAATTTTGAAATGTTCACTTGTTCCTCAATAGCTTTTGCTCCAGCACTTCTCATCCACTTGTGAAAGTTTTTGAGTTGATTTAATTCATACTTGAGATCTGATTATTGTCCTTCTAAGTCTTTGTCCTTCTAAGTCTTCAATCTTCTTTTCTAGTTCTGAAATACTCTCCTTTAGTCTATTGCGCTCGGCAACAAGCTGATGGTTCTCCAGGATAGTTTTCTGGTTGGCTTGAACAAGTTCTACCCACTTCCTTTGGAGAATAGCTAGCTCTTCTACTGCGTCAATCTCTGTGTCATCTTCTGTATCATCCTCTGTGTCATCCTCTGCTGTAACTTTACTTTTGTATCTCTATAACTCTTTGATGAGTTGTTCCACATCGCGTTTTGTTTTAGCAAGTTCACGTTTGAGACTATCATTTTCCAAACATTTTTTCTAATTGACCCGTAGAGACTCTTGAAATTTTTCTTCAACAATTATAAGCATCTCCTTTAGATCCACGTCACCATCAGAGTCACCGTCAACACTATGGAAAGTTGGAAAAGCACAACATGTTCTAGCACTGTGTTTAACACACTGCATATCTTTTTCAACGGGAATGACATGCACGCTGCTTCTTACGTCGTAGATCTTCATTCATCTCCAACTCAATGGTTTCTAAGTTCCCCATCAGTTAATCAAGATACATAACATTAAGAGATTGTGTTTGTCTAATAGCTTTAACATCCATAGAGTATTTTTATGGAAGAGACCGTAGCACTTTCAACACCAGCTTGTTTTCTGTAATTGGTTCACCAAGTCTTTCAGCCTCATTTGCCAACTCTCTAACCCGCCCATGAAAATTTGTGATAGACTCAGCATCCTCCATCTTAAGATTTTCAATTTTGGACATCACAATCTGAAGTTTGGCAGTCTTGACCGTTGTAGTGCCTTCATGAGTAATAAGCAAAATGTCCCAAGCTCTCTTGGCCTCAGTGCAATTTGAGATAAGACGGAACTGATTTCTATCAACCGCTCCAAAGATTGCATTCAAGGCTTGATCATTTGATTCTGTTGCATCCTTCTCTTTCTTGTTGTATCTTTCATAAGGTTTCTGAATCAGTTCTCCATCTCCATTGGTCATAGTAGGAGCTCACCATCCAACCTCTATGCTTCTCCAAACATGTCCACCGATAGACTTGAGAAAGTCTCTCATTCGATACTTCCAAAAAGTATAATCATGGCCGCATAATAGTGGAGGTCTAAAAACATTAGCACCTTCTTGAATATCTCCCATGGTGATAGATCAATCAAGCTAATAACTTAAGCTTGCCAAGCTTTGATACTAATTGTAAGTTCGTGGGGGTGCAACGGAAATCACCAATTGAAAGCTACGCAAATAGATCAAACAACTATGCTTTAGAGAAGATTCTGCAGCACTATCACAGTAACAGATGACAGACAGAGTGCTACAACACCTTCTTTGTCACAAGCACACACGTAGAATATAAAGTAAAAACAGTAAGCAAGACACCAGAATTGTTCACGCAGTTCGGAGCAAATTCTCCTACGTCTGCTAGGCCCACGTTCGTGTAATAGCCGTTCCACTAAATCACCGTAAGAATTACACAATCAATCACAATAGAACCTTCTAATGTATTGATTTGTCTACTTACGAATGACTTGACGACAAACTCGGTTTGCGTCTATCTCCACGGCTTGTTACACCTTCTCAAAGATCTTCTTCAAGGACGTAGATTCTAGTACCCCTTCAAATAAAGATTCTCCTTGATCTACACAAATATGCAGGCTGATCCGAAGCTCATAAATCAAGATTGAATCGTTGAAATTTAATCTCCACTGTTCAGATTGAAGCTACATGAGTCCTTAGGCTCCTCCTAAAATTTCAGCACGATCGGACAAGATTTGGTACTCCGATCATCGACAAAACCATAGCTGCGTTTTCTGCAAACAAAATCAGCGGCAATATGAAGATTGTAACCTTGATAACAGAAGATCCGTAACTCCGATAGACGTGAAATTTGAACACGTTGAAGCCCTATGTGTTGGGAACACTCTCTGAAAAGTTCATCACAATTCAACGGTCGGATCTCAGCAATGATCAAATTCATGCAGGTTGTCCAGAAAATTTGCACTATCTAACTCTGCACCTTGTTTTTCCTATTTTCGGATTTGCGTCAATAGTTTCGTATTTTTCCACACCAAAACCCTAAGGGAGGGAGAAGATAATATATGGAGTATATTAACCTTGTTAGAGTATGCTTAGGAGTCTCAACCATACCTTTGTCCTCAAGAATAGTTCATTCAGGATTAGAATTCAAGTAGGATTAGAATTCTCTCTTCAAGCTCTTTCCTCTTTCTCTTCCTTCACATTATAGGACTCTAAGTCTAAATAAAACATTCAATTAATATTTCTAGGTAAATCTATTCGTTTGTCAAAAAATAATGTCAACACAATATGAAACTAACATACCACCATCATTTTCTCTTTCTTGTATTTGAAATACAACAAATTCTCTCATTGATACTCTAAGGCGCTTTACATCTATTCTTACAAAAAATGATTTACTTATAAGGATATTTTCTTGATATTCATCCTTCGCAAAAGAAAACAACAAAAGATAATTGCAGAGGTATGAAAGCAGTGTGTGTCTCATGGACTTTTAGTAAGAATTCATCTCTTTTTGCAATGATGATGTCTCTTTCTTAATTAGATGAATCAAGATCTCTAACTATTAGAACAACAACTTCATGTACTGTGGAGATATTATAATTTCTTGAGTCTCTAGTTCTACTTCTCAAGAGCCTCAGTGATACATTATTAGATGTGGGCTCATTATCCATGAAGCCTCTAGTTCTTCTAAAAATATGTGTTAAAACATTATTCTCATCTATTATATTTTTCAAATCACCGACTAAACTTTTATAAGTAGCCAAAGAATTATTCTCTATACTGTATGAAACTAATACAATAATTTAGTTAGTCTATTAATAATGTTCCATGAGTATTATATTGTCAAGCACATGTAAATAATACCTACTTATATTACAAGGGTACATTTAATAAAGTTTTCGAGATACCTAAAATGAGTCATTCTGTTTGACATCTCGTTCTGTGTACAATAAATATAGAATTGACTAAATCTTGGTCTTTCACCATTTTGTGACAATAAAGATGGTATGTGGTGATGATTGTGCCCGCTAAGTGAAAATTGTTGCTCGATCGTTGTGAGATGCATCAATATTTCTATCCATGTACGTGAACGAAAACATATTGTTGTATTTCTTAAATTTTTCATGGTAATGAGAAATCTTCACACCAAGTCCATAAAATAAATTATAGAGCAAATCTTAGTGTTTCCTAATTAGAAGAGAGAGTTAAACTTTTTCTTTCATGTAACAAACTAAAATTTCTAGATGTTTTAAATCTTTATTTGTGTAGTTCTTTCTTCATACTGTAACAAAGCTTCCCAAAATTCACAAATAAATGTGGGATCCCCAAAATCATGATTTCTAAAGGAAAAATAAAATATGATATAACTAATATTTTATATATATTTAGTATTCCACACAACTTATATGTTGCATATATAATCTAAATATACATTTAATTTTTGTTTCTCTAAATGCTGAATTATCTAAACATGATTCTACTGATGTATCTTAAACAGATGAACCTTCTACCTCGATATCTAAATTTAAAGAGTGCTTCTTTAGTGTACCTTGGGTGCACACCATTTTTATGGACCTTCTCACATAAAAAAACATTTATTTTATTTTTTAATTAAAAAAACAGATGCTTATTTAAGTAATAAGGAAATGCTTAATTTTCTCATATGTAGGTCCATGTTGGACCTTAGGTCCACCATAAAATTTTCCAAATTTAAAAAATATCGAGTGTGTCGACCATATTACTTTACGTGGTATTTTCTTACATTATTTATAATATCTTATTCAAATAATTATTTAATACAAAAAGAAAATTGTTTATTATCATCTTCAAAGAAATTAAAAGCATATGTTATATAAGATAGATCAATTCTCTTTTGTCTCGTATAGCACGATGAAGTGTATATATAAATATTCCTTGATTGAAGCACTATATAGATAATTGTTTGGGGAAACTACAAAAATTAAATATTTAATTCAGAATACCATTTGCTACATCACATAGTACATTCTTTCTCGAACGTGTTCGATGATGCGAGACTATAGTCGATGACGATCCCTCTCTTTCTGTATCTGTAATAACCATCATAAAAATAGATAATGTAAATATATTTATCTAAAAACTTTAAACATGAAAAGTATCTATTATCCACTAATATTTGTCCCATTGTGGTTAATGGTCGGATGAATAAATAATCAAGAATATTACTTATTTATGTTGTTTTGACATACATGTAAAAATAAGTATATTTTCTATTTCCAAGAATTTTATTTAATAGTAATTATACTTATAAAAATTAGTATTATACCATAAATATTTCGATTAGGAACACCAATTAATAATTATTTTCTTATACATAAATACTATTGTACCAAGTCTTCATCATTTTACAAAGTTATTAATGGAAAATAGTAATTTTCTGACAAGAATTTATAAATTTTTACAAAGTTAGTAATGAAAAATAATAATTTAAAATGAAGAATACTAATTATAAAATAAAAATACTTGTCACTTGACTTAGAATTCTTTTAATATATACGGAATAAAATTAATGCTCTATCAAATAAACATGCCAATAAAAACCCTTTTCCTTTTGTATATTTATTTCTCTTTTTTATAAAATGAGGAAATCTCTCCAATTAGTATTAATTCAAAGTAATAACAAATATTCACATGTAATTTCCTTTAGTCTTACCAATCTATCCGTTCTTAGAATAAATTTATTTGTTTTGATTATTGTTTTTTGATATGATTTCTTTTTTTAAATTTCAAAATACATTATTGAATATAAATATTTTTCAACAATTAATTAAGATATAAAAGTTTTTTAATGCGATTATGCTGAAGAATTTGTGTGTAACCAATACAAAACTTAATTTCCATAGAATATATTTTTTTGTTAACTAATTCTTTAAATATCACTAAATGACATAACGTGTTGACATGTCAAAAAATTGCAAAGAAAGCATGCCACATGTCACAATTTCCATGCTATCAAAGTCATCAAAGGTGGCGGATGATTTGTAAAAAAGTTGCCAAGTAGACCTGCCACATGTCATAATTGTGGAAGCCCAACTCTCAAATTATATATATAAAGATATAGGATAGGATAGGATATAAGATAAAAAAACACTTTACATTTTTATTCATTTTTCACAACTCATATTTATTCATTTTTAGTTTAAATTTCTATAAAATATTTAATTTGTATGATATATTATACTTGATAGTATACAAGCCCGTGCAAAAGCACGAGGTAAAAACTAGTTTATTTTGTACTCCGTATATGATTGAAAAAGGAATGAGCTCCGTCTTTAAGAACCTCATTTTATGCTTGTAAATATCGGTATAGTGTTTTGTGCATGAGAAAAAGATTAAGAGCATGTTCTTTAGGACTGGAAAAAAAGAGATGGATGTTGGAAGAAATCGGAAGAAACTGGAAGGAACTGGAAGAAATTGGAAGAAACTAGAAGGAATTGGAAGAACTGGAAGAAACTGGAAGAAACTAGAAAAAATTAAAAAAAATCGGAAAAAACTAGAAAAAATTAGAAAATCTAAAAAAAACTTTAAAAATTTTTTGTGTGTGTTTTTATATTATTCTCATTCCAATTCTTGTTGTTATAAATTATTACTATTAATATCATTATTTTTGTTGTTATTGTTGGTGTTATCACGTTATCTTAATGAATGCCTTTAAGATAAAAAAATATTTTTATTTTTCATAAAAAAAACTATTTTTGAAAAAAAATTAATTAGAATATAAAATTAGCATAAATATCCAAACGTTAAATACTTAAAAGTTATAATGGCTATGCAGTATTTATCATAAAATAGTATATTTGCAATTATATTTCATTTATTACAAGATTTTGTTTTAAATATCAGACATGTCACATAATATAATCAAACCTATTCTTGTTTAATGATTGACATTTTATTTTTATTGTAATCCTACTTCTGGAATAAAGACATAGAAATTTTTTTTTATATTTTTTTATGTTTTACTCCTACTTTAGTCATTTTCTCTAAACTACTTTGACTTTCAAAATTTTTTATAAAAATTCGATAAATGAAAAAAAAATTAATTTTTTAAATAAATAAAAAAGAGAAAAAATTGAATAAT